GAGATAAGACAATGGTGAAAATGAGAGTATGAGATTGGTAACCTTTACAACTGAAGAATCGACGGAGAAATCGAAGAAATCGACGGAGGAATCAAAAAATGGATGGAGGAACAATGGAGGGAGGGAGGAAGCAAGAACACTACTGCAGTGAGCTTCAAAATATGCTGAGCTCGGGCTCGGGGGGAAAGGAGACGGCCGGGATATAAAGGGGAGACCTTTAGTCCCGGTTGGTGGCTCCAACCGGGACTAAAGGTAACTTTCCAACCCCAGGCAGCCACGGCCCGGGAGTAGACCTTTACTCCCGGTTGGAGCCACCAACCGGGAGTAAAAGTATACCTTTAGTCCCGGTTGGTGGCTCCAACCGAGACTAAAGGTCCCTGCCACCTCTGTCTGGCGCACTAGCCGTTGGGTAGGGACCTTTAGTCCCGGTTGGAGCCACCAACCGGGACTAACGATATCTCTAGTCCCGGGCGTAAAAAATTCCGGGACTAGAGCCCATTTTGGTCGAGGATCGAAGGTCTGTTCTCTACTAGTGGAAGGATCACTGTGTTTTTATTAAGAAAAAACAAACTAGTGTGCCTGTTATCACATTGAACAAAAATCACCCCAGCTAGTTTGGGCTAATTTTTAGTTTCACCTAATAACTAGCCCCTAGCTGATCAAATAGGCCCTAAGTGTGCCTCTGATGCAAAACATGTGTTCTGTATTTCTATTTAGAAGAAAACACACTAGTGCACCAACGATTCAAAAGAGAAGCAATCATATAGGAAAATAAATACAGCAGTAGTGCAAAACTGTGCACATAAAAAAAAGGATCTTTGAATAAAGAACATTATTAAGCTACAAGTTGATCTCTCTGACGAAAATCAGGATTAATTAAATGACTGTTAGTAGTATATCTTGTTGATTCGACTTTTGAATTCATAGGGAGCATAGAGATTCTATCTACTTTTGAATTCATACGGCGGAGGAACAAGTTCTGGTCCTGTTCAAAGATGCCCCGGGACCGGTCTATGCATATGCATGTAATGATGATCCGACCGGATCAGTTCGTCCTTACCCCATAGCTTGTATTTCGGCAATCGAACCCACCGATTAATGATCACCCCGTAGACGACGACGGTAGCACCTCGATCTGTAATCATCTTACCTTGAGAACTATAATAATTAATTGTAATATATTATACATACAAGGCCCACAAATCGTTGTAGATTTTATTTGGCAACGAAGGAATCCAAGAGAATAAAACGCAAAAAGAAACCTTCGTAAAAAAAAAAGTCATTCTAGGTTTGAACTAAGTTAAACTTTTTTTGGTTTGACTAGATTTATAGAAGAATATTATCAATCCTAAATATGTTCTATGATTTATCTGATTAATGAGTAAGTGTGAATGACTTAATGGTTTGACTGCTACATGGTATTTTTCAAGTGGAGTCAGATTCAATTTCTAGAGTCAGTTGTTCAAAGTGCCTCTAGCCAGGGTCTCTAAAAACAAAATATTTCTAAAGACGGTCTGCAACTGGACCTAGAAATGGATTTCTAAAAATTGTAAGTCATCAATAAAATAGCAATTCTTTCAATATGAGAATAATCCCACTAGCCAAGCAGTATGGACGCACGTCCAACACTACTACGGGAAGGGCTTTCCTAGGCGGGCAAAGCCACTTTTCCCAGGAGGGCAACACAAACGCCTGCATCACAAGGTCTGCGGAAATCGAAATTTGTGGAGGCGGACAGTTTACCCGGTTGCGAAAATTGAAATTTATGGAGGCGAAAATGATTCACAAAAAAAAAAAAAAACTGGTGAGCCCGAGCCTGAGCCCGAGCCCACCAACGTGGCCTCCGCTGCCGCATCCCGCCGCCGCCGTCGCCTGGATCTCGCGGAAGAGCTGCTGCCGCTAGATCTGCACGCTGTTGGATCCGCCGGAAGGAGCACCACGCTGCCGACATCCGTCGGGAGGAGCCCCGCGCCGTCGAGATCCGCCACGCGCCGCCGAGATCCACTGGGAGGAAGAGGAAGAGAGGGTGCTGCTCCTGTCGGGTCGCTGGGATCCACCCCACGCCACCGGGATTCGCTGGGATCTGGCTCGCCGCCACCTGGTGGACATCGGGCTCGCCGGATCTGAGGGAGAAGAGCGTGGCCGCTGCTCGGAGGTTGCCGCCGCCGCTGCCTGATCGGGTGGGGGAGGGGCGCCACCGCCGTGCTCTTTGTGGAGGAGTGGTGCCGCCGCCGTGCTCGGGTGGAGGGGTGCCACCACCGCTGCCTACACTACTACGCAACGCGACCGCGTGAGCTCCCCCGTCGGGCACCGGTCATGCGACGATGGAGTGGAGGGAGGGAGAGAGAGAGTGGGGGAGGGCACCATAGACTGTGCGGGAGTGGGGAGAGGAATGAACTGAGGCGGGTGCCTTAGGACAACTGCCGATAACTGCCTCTAAAAATAGATTATTGTTGGAGGCAGTTGTCTTAAGACGGCCGTCTTGTAAATTCATTTTCGGAGGCAGACATTTCCTAACCACCTCCGTAAATAAAACGACCATATCCATAAATCGATTTTGTGAGGCGGTCTTTTTTTTGGTGTCTCCGTAAATAAAACAACCGCCTCCGTTAATCGTCGGGCATTTTGCGAAGCAGTTGGATTTTATGACCGCCTCAGTTATTATTTGCGCAGTGTCTCGTAAAATCATTTTTGTAGTGGTGCAAGGTACACGTATGAGCCTTAAGACACCGATCGATTTGAAGCTTCTAACTAAGGATGTTGCCATGATGGACTAAGTGTGCGCCGGCACCAGAGCCCAGAGCCCAGAGCCCAGGCAGGCACCCAGGGTCACCGGACCTGGGTCCACTACTAGAAAATCCTAATAATTTCTAAATCTATCTTGTAGTAGTACTAACTATTGGAATCAAAATAATTCCTAACATCATCTTAAAGTAGTACTAACTATACTAATATAAAACAAATCAGGAGAGCAAACTGGTCGTAGTTCAGTTGGTTGAGTTTCTTGTGGTATTATTCACATGAATTTAAATGCTCAACTTAACCTGAGTGTCTCCAGATTTGAATGGGACATACACTACGGGATACAGTCGTTTCGCCGAGTACCAGGGGCACTCGGCAATGGTCCAAAAACACTCGGCAACTGCTTTGCCGAGTGTAACACTCGGCATACAACATACGGCATCTTTTTGTCGGCAAACAGCTATTTGCCGAGTGCTTTTTGTCGGGCACTCGGTAAAGCCGGAAAAAGCACTCGGCAAAGATTTACACTCGGCAAAATGAAAATGCGAAAAAACCCAAAACTAATAGCAAAATTTTTCAAATTTTTTTTCGGGGGAGGCCGCCATCAGCCAGCGCCCGCCCGTCTTCATCGAAGTCGGTGCATTTTTTGTGCTAAATTGGCGGCTAACGCGGCCGGAGGGATTCGAACTCATGACCTCTCCCTCGCGTGTCTGCTGCTCTACCACTGCACTACACTGTCACTTGTGTCTAGATTCCGTTATCTACCCTCGTATATTATACTAAACCGAGAGTAAATTGTTTGTTTGAGGCCCTAAACGAATTCAAATAAAAAAGTAGTCAACTACAAAGTTTCATAACTTTTCGAGATCTACAATTTTCATTTAGGAAGTTTTTCCATCCGAGGTCGTTTACAAAATTCGAATTTCAAATTTGAGAGATTCAAACGTAGTTTTGCATGATAAGATGATTTCAAATAAAAAGTTGTCAACTACATAGTTTCATAACTTTTGGAGATCTACAATTTTCATTTAGGAAGTTTTTCCATCCGAGGTCTTTTGAAAAATTTAAATTTTAAAATTTTCAAATTCAAACGCCGTTTTTGCATGACAAGATGATTTCAAATTAAAATGTTGCCAACTACAAAATTTCATAACTTCTCAAGATTTACAAAGTTTATTTTGGTCATTTGTTCATCCGACATAGTGGTAGTAACATTGTTCACAAATCTTATATATCTCTCTTCTACTTTCATGAAACTAATATAAGAGATATGAGAGATGTAGATTTTATGAACAACGTTATTGTCGCTTTGCCAAATGAAGAAATGACCAAAATAAACTTTGTAGATCTTGGGAAGTTATATAACTTTGTAGTTGAAAAGTTTTTCATTTGAATTCATTTAGGGCCTCAAAAATTGCTTTGAAAAAATGATTTGCCGAGGGCAAAAAAAAAATGCACATGGCAAAATGTCTCTTTGCCGTATGTCAAAACAAAGGCACTCGGCAAAATACATCTTTGCTGAGTGCCAGAAAAAAAGCACTCGGCAAAGACACATTTTGCCGTGTGCCGAAAAATAGCACTCGGCAAAATATATCTTTGCCGAGTGCCAGAAAAAAAGCACTATAGAAAGATACATTTTGTCTGAGTGTTTTTTTTTTCGAGTGTATTTTATTTGGCACTCGGTAAAGACAGTCCAGTGTTCGATAAAATACATTCGGTAAAGCCTCCTGCACTTGGCAAAGCGCCGGTTTCCGATAGTGATATCACATATTCATCCATACAATAGACGACGCTACATCCTGACGAAGAGACAAAAAGAAATAAAGAAAGAAAAAGGCGCAGAGGACAGGACACGACAGGAATAGGAGACGCAACGCAACCAAACTTGTGGTGGTGTCGAGTGGCGACCGGCGTTCGGCGAGGCAGCAGCCAGCAGCTGACGGGGGGCGAGTCGTCGTCGTCAACGGTCAGAGGTCGCAACCTGTTTCATTTCCTTGCTCCGATCAAATTGTTTAGTACGGCGACACGCGAACACGCACACGCACTCCGATCCGTCGTCCTCACATCGTCGTCAGCTGGCAGGTCGAGCTATATAAACCCCCTCCTCCTCCCGGTCTCCTCGTCGTCTGTCTCGATCCTCCTCGATCAACCCCTCAACTCTCACTCCATCATCGGCTCATCCTCGCTTTTTTCTTGCTCTTCTCCACCGCAGCTGATAGAGCTAACTCATCACCTCATCCGATCCACCACTGGCAAGCATGGACGACATGGACATGGCCATGGCCTTGGTGGCGGGCTTGGAGGACCTGGACCAGGTGATGCTGGCCATGAGCCCCGGCAGCTCGGCGACGTCCTCCGCTCCTGCCGCCGCCGCAGCACCAGCCGCCGCAGGTGGCGGCAGTAGCAAAGACGACGAGGCCGCCGCCGCCGCCGCCGACCTCCGGAGGGGCTCCTGGACGGTGGACGAGGACATCCTGCTCGTGAACTACATCGCCGCCCACGGCGAGGGCCGCTGGAACTCGCTCGCCCGCTCCGCGGGCCTCAAGCGCACGGGCAAGAGCTGCCGCCTCCGGTGGCTCAACTACCTGCGGCCCGACGTGCGGCGGGGCAACATCACCGCGAAGGAGCAGCTGCTGATCCTGGACCTGCAATCGCGCTGGGGCAACCGCTGGTCCAAGATCGCGCAGCACCTCCCCGGGCGCACGGACAACGAGATCAAGAACTACTGGCGCACCCGCGTGCAGAAGCACGCCAGGCACCTCCGCTGCGACGTCAACAGCGCCAGCTTCCGCCACGTCGTGCGCCACGTCTGGATGCCTCGCCTCCGAGAGCGCGTCCAGGCCGACGCCGGATATGGCGGCATACAGGCTCCGCCAGCGGCGCCCCTGCCCGTCCAAGCTGCGCCGGCGACCACCACGGCCAGCGCGCCACCCGCGTGTTATAACTACTACGGAAGCAAACACCTTGTGCAGCAGCAAGGCGAGGCGGCGGCAAGCGAAGCTGACCACCATCACCACCAATACTACAGCGAGCCAGCAGGCCAGATGGCGGCGACGGCCACGGCCCTGAGCCCAGACGACGCCTCCAGCATGCTGCGGCCGTCGTCGCTCACGGCAGACGACGCATCGCATTACACTGCTGCAGCTTACACCTCGGCGGGCAGTGCAGCGACCCCGACCAACGACCAAAGCTGCAGGCCAACGACGACTGACGACTACAACGTGTTCGCCGGGACAACCTGGTCGGAGCTTCTCGCCACCGCCACCGGTGGCCCTGACAACGACTCCAGCTCCATGTCCATGATCGACCTGCCGGACTTTGGGTTCGGGGATCTCGAGGACAGCCTCTGGAACCTGGACGACCTTTGCTTACAGCAGCTGTGGTGAGCTTACCTGCGCGCTGATGCATACCATCACCAACCATGTATGCATGCAGATGCAGCAAGGAGTAGTCGACAAGCAAGTCACAAGTCACTGATTTGAGTGAGAGGGACACATGCACACAGCATACACATGTGGAATATTGTCGGAGAAAAAAATATATACAAGGAGCACACTCACAGCAGCAAAGAAACTACTATACTTGATAGCTACTTAGCTAGATTGGTCTATATGTTAGTATGATGACCAACTCGAAACATGTGCATAAATATATATGTCCGCTAGTTAGTTTTCACTTACTAGGAGTCTAGATTCTAGAAGGTTTTGTATGTCTTCAGCGGCTTCAGTTTTGCGTGCGTCCATATAGAGTTTGCAAATTTTGCATCCATTTCAGAAAGTCCTCAACTGTAAAGAAATTCATTGTATGTACTTGGGGCTTATGTGATGTGATGCACTTCTCCCTACTCCCTAGTGTTTCTTTACTTTCTTGGAATTTAATGTAAGGTGCTTTTGCGTTTCTGAAAAAAAAACTAGGGTGGTCAACAAAATATTAATTTCTAGAAAACATAATTATTCAAAGGAGTTTTATACTGTATATATATAACAGTATTTTTCACAATGAGTACAATATGATAAAACTTATGTTGTCTATCTATGCAACTTTCAAACACAGGTCACAACTGGTCAAAAAGTTAGAAATTATTAAAAAAACAACAGATAAGTACAAATCCTATTCGAAAGTAGTTCTTAATAGTTTTCCCTATCTGCAGCCAGGAGTACTGAAAGACCTTTTATTTACCTTGCGTGGTTGTGTAAGGTCCCTAGCATTTTGCGGGTCGGTCGGGCCAAAAAAAAAGTTCAGTTATTTTGGACCGAAATAATCTCACCCATGACCGTCTCACTGGACGGCTTAGAGCCGAATCTAGGCCGGGCTGTTAAAATAACTAAAATAAATATTTTGGACTAGACTTGGGCTGAGAAACATTTTTCTGGCAGCAAGGTCTATGCCTAGGCTCTATCCAGAAAGGTTCATGGGTCGGCCAAAACCCAATGGGCTCAGGCCGGGCCAGGCTGGGCTCAATTTGATCAAGTCTACCTCCCCCTGGCCCCTACATGCTTCGATTTCTTCTTACACATCTCTTGTGGTGAAGTTTTTTTACTAGAATCTTTACTACTACTAATTAGATGTCTCAATTGAGTTTTCATTTTAATTCTCGGGATACACAATAGGAAACAAACATAGACAATCTCACAATAATCTAAAATATCTAGCATTTAATTTGGCAGACTTTGATCATCATCGCCCATAGTAGCCATTGAATATATTCTGTTTTATAACAAAACTGTGGATGTGTCATACAAATAATGGCAATTTAATTTTAAACATTATGTGCTTTTATAAAATGATAATACTACACACAAAATTCTTCAAAATAGAAAATTTAACATCTTGAGTGCCGTGACCGCATGTTGAAATGATTGTTTATGCAATTCCAATAGTTAAGAGATACCTATCACCTAGAATATTTTCTTAATAAAGTAAAAAAATTAAAAATTTATATAAAAAGTAAAATAAGTAATAGAGGTCTAGCTTAACACGTGGATAAAAAATTTACAAGACCTAATAAGAGTAAAAGTTAACGAAGTTGAAAGCTATAGATTTATGATGTCATAGAAAGGGATGTGAGAAGAAGTTATATAAGTTGGTTTCAACTAAATACATATCATGTTAGAAAAAAAGAGAGGTCATTTAAGTTCTAACTAGAAGTACCAAGGGAGCCTCAACACCTCATGAGACGTGCTAAAAATATAAATTCTAGAAATGCTCCCAAAAGTAAGAAAAGATTTAGCCATCAATTTGATAAACTCTAATCATATATAACAGATAATAATAATAGCATTGGACCTATTGTAAGGATCTAGATGGCTAGAGGGAGTGAATAGCCTATAAAAATTTCTTCTAGGTGATCCTAATAGCCACTACAAACACTAGCTCTTGTTCACTTGAAGCAAGCCCCTTACACAAGTCTAGTAGAAGTTTGGTTCTATCCTAATCACTCCAACACACAAAGCTACTAGCTACACAACTACAATACTAGAGAGCTAAGCTAGAAAGCAACTACAAACTTGTTACAACTAACAAGAACATAGCATGATGAAACAAGAAATCTAGGAGGCGGCAACCATCAAGAGTAGTAAGAAATTCGTAGCCAAATCGATAAATATATTTATCTAATGTATATATGTTTACTTGGTATACATGATGAAACATAGCATTATTATTATTATTTAGTTTCATGGTTGTAGACGTTTATAATTTAGATATATGTCTCGTATTATGTTTACGTGGTATACATAATGAAACATGGCATTATTGTTATTTAATTTCTTGGTTGTTGTAACATCCCAGATGTTAAAAAGCATTTAAAACTTGACCATGAGCATCATGAAGCATAATCATCAAGTATTGTGACATTAATGCATTCTATGTTTCAAATATACCATGTCCATGTTGCATATGATATGTTCCATAAGTTGCATTTATGGTGTTCTTGTGTTACATGAAATGTTATTAATATTAGTGAATAAGAAACTTTGTGAATTTCAATATGTGAATTTGATTAAACAAGTAAAATTTTGGTAAAATAAAAGTTGTAGTGCAAAGTGTGCTCTATAATATGGAATAAGACTTTGTTAGAGTTTTCAAGTCACAAATGTTTAAAATTGAGCTCAAAGATTGAATTCTAAACAAGTTTTCTAAACTTGACCATTTGTGGTTGTCCCTGAAAAACAGTGCTAGAGTTCAATTTTTGGGATTTCATTAAATGAATTTGTATGAATAAAAGTTGTCCAATTTTTGTTCCATAGTTTGGTAGTATGCTAGAGATATGTTAATGAGCAATTGGTTTTATTGTTTGATCACTGTTTAGTCTCTAATTAATTACCTGAAAAGGTGTAATCAAAACTATTTTCAAAACCCTGAAATTGAATGCAGTTTCAGTTTCATAGTTCAAAGTTTGGTGAATTATTACATGATTTTCCATGAATGAAATTTGTCTAAACTCTACTCCTTTGTTTAGTGCTATGTTTAAGCTATGTTATTGTGTAATTGGTTAATATGTTTGGTAGCTTTTTGTTCACTAATTAATTACCCTAACATGCTTAGTATCTTTGTTTTTCAATCTCTGAAACTGAAGATCAGTTTCAGTTTAAAAGTGCTTCATTTCAAAACCTTAAATCATCAAAACTAGTGAGTGTTTGATGTTGAACCTTTAATCAAAGATGGAGAGCTCAGATCAATGCACAACTTTGATTAAGGGAGCTTATCATGTTTAGTAGGGAAATCGAGAGAAAATGAGAGGGGGAGAAGGCCATTTCAGTCAGCTACAGTAGCATCTCACCGACGGTCGCCGCCTTCGTTTGCCGCTCTCGCACGTCCTGACACGTAGCTGCATGCTTGGAGAGGTTAAGCAGCTGCTGTCGCGCCTGGAGAAATCTCGCCCTCGCCTTCTTAAGCACAACAATGTCGGCGCTGCTCCTCTTTCTCCTTCCTGCTCGCCGCCGACCTAATCCACTCACCGACGAAATTAGCCACCGCCGTGGCATCTCCACCCAATTGCTCATGGCCGCAGCTTCGCCTCACGCTTGCGCATCGCCTAAGCCCGCTTGCTTCGCCTCTTGTAGCCGCAGTTGCACGCGCGCACTATCCTTGTCGCGGCGGCTCGCCATGGCCGCCGCGAGCCACCTCGCCGTGGCCAGAGCACCCCAGAGCAGCTCCTGCCCTCCCGCTTGTTGTTTACGCTTCCTTGTGGCTCGGTGATGCTCACCGACTTGTTGGTTTTCTCAGGCACCCACTGAATCCACCAGAACGCAATCTCGCAGCCGTGTTCGTGTCGCCGCCGTCATTCTCCTCGATGGCAGCCACCTCCGCTCCACCTCTGCCACCACCAAGCAGCGCTGTGTAATCACGGTGAGCTCCACGTGCCCTCTGAGACCTTGGTCGAACCTCTACCGCACCGGAGCATCGTGTCCGCCGCCGCGCCACTGCACTCTGCGCCGCTATGCCGCCATGGCCATGGCTAAGCACGCTGCAAACCCTAAAGTGCTCAACCAATACCCTAGACATGTGCGCAAGGTTGTGGGGTCTCATAGATGTCCTTCTCGCCGCCCGAGAGCTCGCTGACGGTGAGATATGCCGTCGCCCCGCCGGTGTTTCCTTCGGTCAAAGGCGAGCAAGGTCAGTTTGACCTTGGCCCTGCGTGTCAGTGAGAGGGGGTAAGGAAGGGGTGGGTGAGAAAAGTATTTGGCGTAGAAATGATTTTATCCTTTTCAGGAAATGCTTATACATGCTAATTCTTGTTTAATTCATAACTATTTATTGGAGCACGATAAAATTATGAAATTTGTTGTGTAGCTTTGTTGTGAGATGCTCTACCATGAAAAAATATGAATTGGTCCTTTTCAGTAGTTTTGGTATGCTCAAAAATTACCTCTTTTAATTATTAAATGGACCTTGCATGATTTTTATAGGTTAAAATAATTATGCTTTAATCATCAAACTTTTTGTGTATGGTTTACATGCTAATACCTGCCCTCACAAAAAGTTTGGTATCGTTTTGACATTTATGAATTGGTTAATTAATTTAAATGTGTTTAAATGCCTTTTCCATGACTAAATAAATACCTAAATGATTTAGATAAATACTTAAATGGCTTTGGTGCATTTTGGATATTGGTTGTGGACCTTGGAACACCTAAACCCCTACTGTTCCTTGGAAACTTGATTTCTTTCCTTGATATGTTTATAATCAACTTGTTTACATAATTATTAAAATGGTTTTACTAAATATTTAGTTTAGCTTTATGAATCCCTTATAGTAATCATGAGTTAAGATAAATGTTAATCTCTTGCTGGTCCATGTTAGTGTAATTACTTCCATGATAACTAATTAACTTAATAGTTCATTAACTAATATGCCTTTATAATAATAGTCCTAGTTCTTTAG